CGATCTTCAAGCCACCTGACAGAGTGAATGCACTCCGTCAATTCCACGAACAAATCTTTTGTCCAACGTATGAGGCGAGTCCATTCAGCCGAAAATCGAGCATTCCAGTTTATTAGGTGGAACGAATCGCGAACTGGAAACAGAGGTTCAAATGTTGCCAAATGGGAGTGAAACCGCCGGAGTTGGATAATCAACTCATCCCCTATCCCGTCCAACTCCCACAATCTCCAAACGAAGCCTCGAATCAGATCTTGTTGCTTTAATATCTGATCCAGTGCCTGAGATGAACTTAGCATACGATGAACCACACTTGATGGACTGGGCAGTCCCGATGTTTGATGGGATGTCGTCAGTTCTTCGTTCATCCATTCAATGAACGTGAGATGAATCATAGGTGCCAATTCTACGGGATAACCAGGCAATTGGTCACACAGTTTTGATGTGGCTTCTGAAACAAATAGAAAGACAAAAGTTGTGCGGCATGATCAGCTGTGGTGCACAAACTGAGAGGCTACTCAAACAACATGAAAAAAATCCCATTTTTACCAGCGACAACTGAAAACACACAAGAATCTTCTAGAATATGAGTCTATTTCGACAGAAAACATATCACACCGATACAGCGTGCTATTAGGTCTTAGTGAAGCCGGCGAAATCATCTAGAAAACGGACTGACGAGAGCAAGACAGAATGCACAGAGTCGGGCTGTTATATACTGAGTAGGTGAACTTGTTCAGTCTTTTGTGTTCGCAGTGCTATACAAGCCGTGGTACTGTTTCAATGCGTAGCTTCCATGCGAGTGGTGGATAGCGCGGAGCTTGAACAACCGTCAAACATACACAGAAGCAATCGATAGTTTGAGGAATACTTCGAAAATAAACCTTCTGGTCAAGAGCCGAGAGTAGAAATGTCTACAGACATACTGAAATGTCTTTATCCGTTTGGGGTTTTTTTCAAATCCCGCTCAACTAGAAAGTTTACGGTAAGGTAGCGGAAAGCAAAGCTATCTAACCTGGCTGTAACATCCTATCAGTAGCGCTGCAGATTAGTCATCTTACCGTTAAAGCATTGGGTTTGTTGTGAAAGTTGTTCCCACCATTGCTGAAGACCGTACACCTTTCCTGACCGGATGACCATTCGGTTAATCAAATTATTGATGGCCTTGGGTAGCACATTCGAATGATCGATCGAAAGCCTACACTCTGAAAGTTCTTGCTCGTCCTGAAGTACAGATCCCACGGAACAACACAAGCATGTGGCCTTCACAACGTCCCAGGCCAGCTTCGATGAAATCATCTGAGAATGTATAGAAACCAGTTAATTATTTGTAACAAAAATTCAGACAAGTGGAGAAATTATAGTTAGAGTCGATTGGTCAGCAACAAAAAGTCCTCAAGGCTGAAAGAACGAAATGCGTCGATTGGTGCATTTGACATGTTGAAACAGTTCTAGATCTTGAACGGAAAGTTAGGACCGACGCAGCTTTCCTTTCCTAGCAGTGTTTCACACTGTGTTGAGGCCCTCAGAAATCAGCTGGGTGGGTGACGTGGGCCAACTGATGGGAAGAGCTACTCTGTTGCATTTTGACCAAACTCCCAATAATGGTAGCGATAACACGGCACTGAAATTGTGCTCATTTACACAGTTCCCAAGTGCAAATTTCGATGCTTCAGAGCATTTTTCATCAGCCATAAAGCACTATGGTTAAATTTCTAGTGGAATTCATCAGTACGCATGAAATCACCATTCAGACTATTTAGGCCTAATAGAAATCAGGTCACCTGACAGACTCACATTCAACAGTATTATGCAATCAAAGCAAAGCGGGAATGCGTCAGGTGTTCGCAGTCTCATAGTCCCTTCACTTTATAGGAAATATGTTTAAAACCAAAGGGTGGGAAGCACTTTCGCGATTGTTACCTCGGCCATATTCAACGATGAAACGCCCTAACGCAGACATGATCAAACCGCTCACCAGGTAATCTGAATCACAGGCAAGAGCCTTTAACGCTGTGCAAACTAACACCCAATGAGTAGTTGTAAAGCTAGACTACTCAACGGGGTCATGCAGGTGCCAGCTGAAAAATCTAACCAAGTTATGAAAAAATGAACAATTTAATTGGTCTTAAATCATCTGTGTCATTAGGAGGTGACGAAGCGACACAGTTAAAACACATCTGGAGTAATTCTTGAAGTCCCCAATTCAGAGTATGGTGGAATTTTGTTTGATCATGCATACCACCGATATTCATTTTAGGTGTAGTATGAACATAAACCTGTAATTCGAAAGAAGAGCTATCTGATGAATATGTTTCCAATAAATCCGCCTCGAAAAGCAATGCATATGCTTCATGAAACTGAAGGAAGGCAAAAGTTTCTTTCAGTTTCCAAGTCTGAATGCCTGATTCACTTCTAGCACGTCTAAGTTCATCTAACGGAACTGGGGGCTATCAAAACTCAAATTTTCTCAACACAAGTAACGCTCCTGGAAAATGAAGCAGGTCAACTTGTTATCGGCGATCAGAGTAAGGTGCACTTTCTCCTTGCCACCTCTTGTAAGGAGATAAACATAGAGTTATTTGAGCGAGCTTCTCTATACTGTTTCGTCCAACAAACAAGCTCACATTGGGGTTTCTGATAACCCGTTCGACGGTTATCAATGCATCTCACTAAATTTAGTTCCCTGTCCTTCTGGTGGTACATGCATCACAAACGTAGTTTCCCAAAGATGTACAGGGGCAGAACTTTGCATAAATGCCGGTAGTTCAGAGGCATTCGTTTTTTGTTGATGACCCGTTCGCTCCGGTTGGTGTCGTCACCGTCCAAGGGGATACGGTTGGTGCGTTGTTGGGTGCTTATGGATGGCCATTATGCGCACAACGCTATCAGCTGCAAAACCTGTCTAACAGGAGTAAAACGTTTTACGCCAAAATGTTGCGAGGAGTAAAACGTTTACGCCAAAATGTTTCATTTTGTCGCTTATATGCTCAGACCGGAAATCGTCCTAATCTACGTGCACATTTTTACAGCTCACCAAATTTCATTGTTCACTGAAGCAACCATGCCTCTTGCTGAAAAGTCCTGTAAGATCATTTACCGGCATCGCTGAGACCACGACATGCCAAAATGGGGCTTAAAAGTCTGGACGGGTACTCTCAACTCAATTGCCCGATTGCTTTAGTTCATCAGGGACACGTCATAACTTTCGAAAATTCAACTCCATTGTGCGAATACCGAGCGCCGTGCTTAGGAGTTAATTTTTTCGGCGGTTGAATATGCCGCGAACCACTTGGGCGGCAACTACAAGATAACAGTCGACACTGGACACAACATACTTCGTAGAAAATACAACACGCAAAGCATGCACTGCTAAAAGGTAAATGAAGCCTCAAGTGAGGGCAAACGTGATTCATTCATTGTGACCGGGTCTCGAGGGAACTAAATGTAGAAACAAAACTGGTGTTACGGTAAAATTAACGGGAATATTTGTTTGGTTGTCCCGGGACAAGACGAAGATCTTCTCAGGTGGTTGACATTCTATAGTCAGCAATCTAATATCGAATGAAACTAAAAGAAACACGGCAATTAATCTCACCATGCAGTTCTGATGTTGCTCTGCCAAATGTTCCATGGATCTGACGGGGGTTCTCATCAATTGTCTCACGAGATTCATAATTTGCACAAGACAGTCAGAAAGATATGCTACTCTCGTTGTCATGTCCTCCGTGGTTGAATAAGGTTGCCACGCCAGTCGACATGGATGTTTTGTGGATGAAACTTTGCGGCTGCTCATACACTCCTTGACCGAAGTGCAAAACCTACGAAGCTGACTACATGTCATTGTTAAGACAGCCAGCCTGACCTCAGTCTGACTATCACTCTCAACGGGAGTGTGAAAATCTCTCACTGCATTGTGCCGTTCTGCGAGTTTCTTCATAGTCCGATGAAATAAGACTGGTAAAGACATCAGTCCCGGAAAGACGAAGGTTTCCGAACCTTCCGCAGTGTGATTGACAAATGTATCACAAAGACCGATCACTTTATCCAAACTTTCCTAAAAAAGATAGAAGGGAGAGGAGAAGATTGATAAGTCTGATGGGCGAAGATTCCGCGACGATAAACTGAGACAAAAATGAGGTTGGCTCAGATGGCCGATGTCTTTGAAAACAACCGCCACCATCCATACAGTCGGGCGACGGCATGCGAAAAAAAGAAATCGGGCCATTCTGACCAGATGATTCCCTCAATGTGTAATAACAATGAAGGAAACAATGACCTTGGGACCTGAATTCTGACGAGTAACCTGTGTGTAGCCTCACTGTAGACACTTGCTACAGGTGATAGGATAGTCAGTCTCGAACTCATTAGCTCCATCATATCTCCTTATCAAAGTATTTTCGACTACCATTGGAACGATCGGGTAAAAAAGAATTTACAACGATCAGAGCAGTCATTTTTTGACTGCTTGGTTGATCAGGAACTGTACACGGTGAAAATATCATCGTATTGCAAATAACCAGAAATTCAAGTTCCCCACAAATGAAATGATAAAACTAGATGAATAAGCCTTGGCTCGAAAACCATACAGTCTTTTCACAAATCGTGTGAGTAGTTTAGCTTATAAAAATATGCTGCGATATCTCGAATATCGTACCAACTGAAACACATCGGTGGCCTTTGTGCAGCACATTCAGTTGAAGAACATCATAAACGGGAGATTGACTTGAGTCTTCCGTGAAAATTAAATTGATTCGCAAATGAGTGTGCCTGTCGAAGTCAGTCCAGTTTGGGTTCAAGTCGAAGGTAAGGTTGACGGAAACTCGGGGCCTGCGCCTAACTGATGCGTTCGAAGAAGGGTGAAACCGGTCGTGGGCTGTCGAAGAGTTTTCAGCAACCTTGTGGGTAGTTTTCCTCATGAAGAAGTACTTTTTCGCTTTTTTAAAGAAAGAATCCCAGGTGTTTTTATAACATTTTATGACAGAGTGGGAAGTACTTTTTCGCTTTTTTAAAGAAAGAATCCCAGGTGTTTTTATAACATTTTATGACAGAGTGGTGAACACGAAAAATCAACAGGTACCCTTGGATGATCCCAAAGTTGCAACAAGTACTCAAGCTTCGCCGATTTGCAGAGTCCATCGTAGTGACTCGCACTGACCATAGAACCTCCCGAAATGCAGTCGAACACCAAATTGTTCCACTGCGAGCGGTCGATCAGCAGACCGTAGAACCTTCCGAAATGCAGTCGAACACCAGACTGTTCCACTGCGAGCGGTCGATCAGCAGCCAGACTAATTCACACCATGGAATTCACATCACGTGGTCGCTCTTTGACTGGTTCCCCGGTTAGGTTAAGGTGTCGTGGAAATCATCTTTCCTTATTGTGTATCATCCGAAGTGCGCAGTGGTACACGCCTGTCCGTGTTGTGCACTCTTCAATCACAGTCCAGAACGTGAATCCTCAAGGACTCTTTACAACGTATACAATCGCATTAATTACAACGAAAACCCACCTGACAGCTCTCATTACATAGCAACAGTCGTTTTCCCTAGCATATCTACCAAATCTACATCGAAATTGTTTTTCATTAATATCTAAGAAGCCAGCTTCGTTTTCACCTGGGACTTATAGGTGGCATGGCGTGAAACAAGTGATTCAGGTTGCCTGTCTCTGCTTGGTTGCACATGGACAGTTGGTCGTTACAGACTAGTGCTACCGCACAGGTCTGCAGCATCTGAAAATGCGCTCTGTGGGAAGCAAATGCGGTTAGATCAATAGGGTACAAGGAATAAAACAACTAAAGTACCCTCCTCATTGAAAAGACAATAAGTGTAACATAGAATTCATGTTTTCCGCAACGCAACCTGAAAGGAACAACACACAGAATCGAAGGGGAGTCCGAGGGTTTATATAGGTTAGACAGCTAGGGAATTACACACCAGAATCAGTGAGCATAAGCGTTCCATTAGCAGACCACCGAGAAACGCAGATGAATACCAGGCGTTAGTCAAGGATTCGACAATGGCAGGACATGCTTTAGGCACTGGGCATAGGATAGATTTAGAAAATGTGGGCATCCTGAGACGGGGTTTAGGATTCACACCACAGCGACTGGTGGCCGTGGCGGTGGAAATCGCCAAGCACCCCAGTGTGAATAGAATAGAGGGGGTAGAACTTGCAAACGTGTGTAGAGCGGTCTTAGATCAGCCGAGATGACACGAGGTATGCAATTATCAGCGAAATCGCCAGGGTCTAAAAGTATAAAATCTAAGTAGAGTTAGATCCAATTAACCACCCCACCCCCATCCCCAAACCAACTGTCCCGGCCCCCTTTGACGAACACAGGTGAACGAAATCTGTGAATGACCCCAAGAGGAATGTTCCATTAAGGTGTTTTAGACTGAAAAAAAAACAATCTATCGTAAATCTTGGTCTTCCCCACTAACCAACAAACAGGAACATCAGACTGAACACTCAGCACTGATCACGTCACTAGTCATAAGGAATCTCACGGATTGGTTCCCTAACTGCCCTAAAACCCAATCAACCTACTTACTTACTCACTTGGCCTGACGAAGCTTTTGTGTCAAAAGCGAAACGTTGCCCGGCAATAAATCCACCGATTGTTTACCAAACCTCTCTGAAACAAAGGGAGTCCACTTTGTTCCCCAGGTGGGAATATCCCAGACCGCAGACCCAACCTTATTAGTGTAGGGTCATAACCACGACTAATACACCAACCATCCACATCAACGAACACTTCTTGAGTGGATCAGAGGTTAATTGATGTATGATTCAGCCCTAGGTACGCACCTAGCATTCTGTGTTAGGATTTTCCATCAATACTGATCCAAGGTAAAAAGCTGAGGGCAAGATAATGAAGGAACCACGGAGCTCCCAATGATTATCACTGCTAGTGTCATATAGAAACAGACATCCACAGTTCATCTTTCTAAGAGTCCAGCTGGATTGAAAAAACACTAGCTCATAGTTTTATAGATAGCATGGACTGACGTGTATGTTACAGGTTCACTATGTTGCACCCTTATGTCCATCCCAGATCCACAAGAGCACACAATAGCAGTTACTTCAGAAAAATTGAAACAAGCCATTCTTTCTTTGTGAAAACTGTTGAAACCTCTGGATACAAAAGGTGCAGAAAGCGTGCGACGCGGTTCTCGTTAAGCACCTTCTCCTGAGGACAACCCCATCGGAGAGGTACTCTGAAATACCTGAAGTACATCTCCTCCAGGGCGAAGGAAATTGTAAAACATGTGATAACTCACCGAAATTTGCTTAAGATCTTGGCTATCCGTGTTTTGAATTTCCTCCAAGGTGGATGTCATATTGAGACCCAGAAGCTCATGAATAAATTCAAGCAGAAGTAGCCTTTCAACTGCGGCATTCTCAACCCGCTGCAAAAAATTCCAAGCTGGATTGGACAAGACGGCATCCAGAAGAGCACACACTGTTTGGAACAGAGTGACCTCAATGCACAACTTTGAGGAAAAACCCATCTCCTCGTTTTGAATCTTGTCATCATCCAACAGACGTCGAAGCCTTGAAAGTGATTCACTGCTCATCTTGAGCAAATTACCACTAGGGTCATGGGTTGCGTATGGTTCCGAATAGTCTGATACCATAAGCCTAACCGCCTGAAATAAAGGAGTTGGATAGAGTTTTTTACAGATATGTAAAGGGAATAGGGAGCTTCTAACGAGGCTTGGTCTGAGTTTAGTTGTAAATTACTGCTTATTCCATAAACCTCTGAATAGGGAAAACCTCTCGCTTCCTGGACTCCCCATTAGCCTAATTGCTGAAATCCTGCATGCAAGTTTCGGGGCGTCCGCTTTCTAGATCCGCAAGGCCAAAAGCTTCTCCAGAAAGGACGCCGCTTCTTCAAATGAAGGACATGTTTAACTTGTTCTGAACACACCTAGTGAGTGGTATTTTGGCAAAGGTACATTCATCCCATTCAAGACTGCCTTCTCAGTCGATGTTACAGCAGTCATTCCATGGACCGCATTCACCAATGAGCACAAGGCGAATTGAAACACAATAGAGCATCCGAGGTTATGAGGGAAGGCCTTTTGATAAATTTTGCTGCATCCGGGTCTCGCAAGATCCAGTTGGTTAAAAAAAGACATCTGTAAGATCCCTTTCTTCAACGTATAACATCAATATTCCGGGTTAAAGTGGTTTGAGCAAATATGACTGCTGACCGATCTAGACCATTCGGTGCAGAACTGAAGGCCACAAAAATACCATACGGGGTGAAGAAAAAGCTCCAGTAACTTGACGGAATCATGACGAATGCAGTAGATTTTGTGTCATTAGGAGGGATACGATCTACTCCTACACGACTATCGTCTCCCAACTATGCTATGTCTCTGGTGTGGACAATGCTGACAACCGGATGGGGATGAAATTGCGTCTCCAACACTTTTGAAGTAATCTTATTTGTGGTGCAGCTAATTCTATATGCAATCATGCTAATAAAAAAGGCCGCCAAACATGAACGAACAATCTACGCGGCAGCGTTTAACAAGTGACGATTGGTGAACTTAACTCGAAGTAATCACATTTTTTTACCTTGGGTATTTCAAATACACTCATAAGACAGATTTTGGAGGGAAAATCCGTCACCAGTTGGTATTTCTTACTGATGTGATTCACTCCATCCAGAAGAATAAGCTGGCTATTCACAAGTATTAAGATTTTCAGAACAATTCAGCGAATGGTTAGAACAAAAGTTGCGTCTAAAAACATACTTGAACACCGGCAGTATTCTGATTGGTTTCTTCCAACTGGACAATGACCTTGAGATGATCGTGAAGCTTCGACCACATTAAGTCAAGGAGATGTTTGATTTGGATCGGCCGTCTGCTGCTGTTCGAATACTCTTCTATCTCAATGCATGCAGCGTTCTGGGTGATTTCGACTTCGAGATAAGCCGCAAAGTCTCTGTAGCTGCTGACACAACTCTCAGTCGGTATCCTATCCGGCATGCCCGGTAATTCAATGGCTTCTGAGTCGGGATGGCACCAACTATCCGAGGACACTGACATTACATGTGTGTTCAGCTCCTGCACAGCTCTGTGCAAATGCTGTAGAGTGTGTGTGGGAGGGAATAAGCGCAGGGCTAATTGATGCAAACAAGGAGGATTTTTGTGAAGAATGCAAAAAAAAACATGTGGATTAAACCTCACTAGGTCACTTCCGAACTGAATGCGCAGAAGGTGAAAGGGGTTTGGCACAGTGAATTTTCGGTTCATGCTAACAGTGTCGAGGATTGTACATTTTAGCCAAAATAGTCTGACGTTTTGACCAGCAAGAAGAAGGAGAGGGAGGGCGAAGGAGGGAATAACCATGACGATGTTCAAAATCTGCTAACATTCGTAGTGCACTTTTATATGAAAGCACTCCACTAAATGGCTTGTTCAGTTGTCTGATACACCTTTCAGATCTCAAGGCTCTATATCATTCCGAAACAACAAAGAAATGCCCTTTTGTTCATCTGACAAAACTCATGAAGGTGGGACATTCGAGGCCGAAAATCATCACATGGCTCCGTAAAATGCATGAAAGTCGACATAAGCATGTAAGCATCGACAGGGACTAGTCATGTAGTCATTTTTCTAACCTTTAGATGAAGGTCACCTATGACTTAGGTTACAGGAAGGAAACAGAATTATGTTGTTTAGATTCTTGTGGCTCAAAGTCGGGGTTCAATGCCGAGCGAGTGAGAGTCATGAACCTGTGGTTGGACTGTATGAAGTGGGTTCACAGCAAGCAATATACATTACAGAAACACGTGACTGTGTAATAATGTGGCCAACAGATGAATTTGTCAGTTTTCTGCTGGTCTCATTGGCTGTACTACGACAGTCTCGACTTGCTTCACCTACTTTGTTGTTCGTTTCCCTGAAATAGCATCGCTCTTTCGCTCCGCCCTACTGACCATAATTTTCGCTATTTCGCTTCGAATGTGAATTGATGTCACGTGTAACTGCACTGTGCAATGGCTCATGTACTGGTCGACAATATACCAAAGTCATCACCCTCATCTTTGTTTCCAGTAGGCCAGTATTCGCTCGGCACGACACGCAAATCGTACGCCTCAATTGGAGCGGTGTTGATTGACCAAATACGAAACACTGTGGAGGGCTGGACAAGTAGTAAAAATCCCTTGATCATGCCCCACTTACGTCCTCATTGATGGGTAGATTTTCTTGAATTTTTACAACTAGATTACGATTTTAGTAGTCAGTGAGTCAGTTTTTGTTCCACAAAGACCTAATGTCAATGTCAGAAAACTGTGTGCTTATTCGGGAAGAGGGGAAGGGAGCATTCGGATTCGGTTGTATTCAGTTACGAGCAACGGATCCAAAGAATAAACATTTCGTTCGATAGAGCATTACCCTCTTTCGGGAAAACACAGGATAAGACGTGAGTTGAGAGGGGTATAGCTGAAGTTACGAAAGCAAATCAAAACTTATCGCGAAAGATGCTGTTTTTCTATACACTCCAACCGACGGAACCATTCGAGTTTTTCTACCTTGCCCATGTGAAGAGAGGAAGTTGGGCCATGGTTCAGCCACAGCAGACGGACCATTCGAGTTTTCTACCTTTTCCATGTGAAGAGAGGAAGTTGGGCCATGGTTCAGCCACTAAAACTCAAAGACAAGTCTAAACTGATCCGATCACCACAAAACTCGGAGCTGAATGTGATCAATCGGCAAATGACCGTCGAAATGTCTGCCGCATCTGACCGGCCTTTGTGAAGTGAACTGAGTTGGATCAGGTGGCAGACGAACTCCTACTGTCAACTGTGTTGACGTATTCTGGGGCCCATGCATAATTACAGGTTCAACACAACGTCCATGAGCGTAATATCAAGACCTTACAGTGCGACGTACGCACTGTCGAATTTTCACCGATCATTCTCAGCTAAAGCATGGAGTGTAGTCGCTGAGTGACATCCCGCTTTGTTTAAGTTACTTGCACTTTTTTTTTTGTATTTCAACCTGGTTTGCCCAATGTAGATGTAGTCATCATATTAGGATTGATTAAGGGTTTCGCGCGAACCAATTGAATTCGCAACATGCTCACTTAGAATGTGATGCGGATGCTGAAGTTAAATTCATGAGTGTTCCGTTGGTGAGAGATCCATGCCGTATCAGTAGAATTGCTTCAAAGTCTTACTGGGTGGTTGTAGAGTATGGTTGATAAGTTGTGTTTGTTTGATGTCGGCAACCCAACTGTCGCATGTCATTGTGTTGCTACAAAGCCACTCCGTTCAGTGTAAGAAGAGAACCGCCGGAGAGTCAGCCTAGTGGCGATAGCTTTCAGGTATTATCCTTACGAAGTTTGATCCATCACTGGGAGGGTCAAACCAACGAGAATCAAGTTGGGTTTCGCCCTGGCCCGGGTTGCATTGATCATATCTTCACTTTAAGACAACTATTGTAATAGTGCCAGTCCTACCGATCACCAACAATGATCGTCTTTCGAGATTTAAAATGTTTTGGCTTCGTTGGCAGTGTATGTCTGGCGATGAATAGTGTCCCTTCTAAGTTTTTGTCTCATTTGAGCTGTATACGCCTCCTCCCATGGACCATCATGTACCCACGGCAAATTATATACTGAGTTCACCACATCCAGTAATGTCCGGTAAAAGTTTCCTCATCACCCTTCCTCTGCAACTTTGTAATCGATGTAACAGTTGAGTGTTCTTCACCTGCCCCTAACATCTCGAGAAACGACAATACTCCCGGGATTTTCGCTCACGAACATTGAGTGCGCCGAAGACATTGCTCTCCTTGATCAGACCCCGCAGAAATTCAAACTGTTTTATACGAACCAAATAGTTCTGCTGCACAGCTTGGTATAAACTTCGCACAGGCAACCACAAGATTGGGTTGGATCAAAACCAAACGTCATTCGCGGAGCTGGTGGATAAGTTCATCTATCTGGGCGGTTGCATAAGTCCCGACGGACTGGTGAAAGATGAAATTATTTCTCGGAATGGGAAGGCAAGGACACTGTTTTCAAACTTTTGACGGTGAACAATAGAGTGTACAATGCTGCGATTGGATCTGTCCTACTTCATGAATCAAGTGGCCGCTGCGTGCGGAACACGAAGACTCTCTGCGTTTAACCAGCATGCCCTCGAAGCTTTGTGCGAACCTTCTGGGGACTTTAGATCAGTGGTGGTGAAGTTGTAGCGACCCAGTCACCCACATATTTGACTGTTCAACTCAGCCGCTCACTGGATCGCGAGGCTTGTTTTTTTTTTCATACGCACAAACACGTCGCATTAAGCTGGCTCATCGGACATCGATTGTCTGCACCGCCTAGTCAGCGTAGCGACCAATCATGTGCCGAAGCGCCCACGTTTACGCACTGGGACCTACATAAACGCAAACCGAACCCAGTCAAGACACAGACCCGCGCGCGCGCGCAGGGAACAGGACGTCAACCTCTCCACAAGTCCACGGGCAACCATGGAGTACGTGTAGCAGTCTAACTGCGGAGAAAAACACGTTCCCGCCGTCCGGACTTCCACCAAGGGACTCTCGCATCCGATAAGTTCCCTTTTTGACTTGCTCCCATTTCGCATTGTATTCATTTTTATGTGTCGCAACCATGTTAAAAACTTCTGTTAGTGCATACACCTAATTTGTATGTGGATATCATCACCTGTGCACTAATAAAGTACGCCACATGATTTCCTGGGAAGTTCACTCTACCTCGATAGATCAGCTGGTTGCGCTCTACAAGTTCAGCTGGTCAGGCAATGTACTTCGCATACTGGAGAAACATTGCCTCGTACACCACTCTGTCCAGTCTTGTGTCGGATGGCCAACGAAGCATGAACACGCTTACCAGTCAACTCAGTCGCGTTGGTAACAGCCGTCTCCCACGATGGGCACCACCGGTCGAGACAAATCAAAGGTTAGTGATCCTGACAGATCTGGTTGTGTCATGTAGCCCATTGCGGTCTTGCATCAAAAGCTATCGCCTTCACTATGTAGCTCATAATCCCTGTCATACGGCCTCCGCGACATGACTCTTGTTTCCTCATTTTCCTCATCCTCGGTGAACGAAGCTGGAGCAACTGGGACCAGTGCGCTGCAGTACACTTTTCAGCTGAAAGAAACTGACGTGAACTTAGAGTTGCATAGTGGGAAACATTGGATATCTAGACCATTTACCCAGAGGAAGAAAATCTGGACGCTTAGTGAAAAAAACATCCAAATCTAATCTAGAACAAAGGCGGAATGCCCGTCTAGAGAGAAAACGCATCCATCGTTGCTAAATCAGGTGTCCACTGTGAAAGAATGTTATATCGAATATTGTGAAAAACAGAGTCTCTTATGAAATCGTGATGTTGTTGGTCCCCAAAGGTAATCAATCGACTATAAGTTTCATGCGGATCAGGGAGGCATTAAGTGGACATATCAGGATCGGGCGCACGTCCGCTTATGTAACAGGCATCATAGTCTCTTCTGTTCACAGAGTAAAAGCGATCGACCAACTGCTCGCGGGGGTTAGACAAAACCATACGGTACGAAACGAATTCCCATGGACTAGTGATGAATTGCCACCAGTAAAAAGTAGAAGTAATGTGGTGATGGAAACAGATTCACAGAAAACTTTCAGTCGTCACCTGTCTTGACTCTAGTATGCGCGATTTCAGATACCGACTGGATGAATCTTGGTCCGCTCTGTTCCAGTTGCATGGATTTGTCCGTTCTTCAGTGTCATCCCTGCTCTCCTTTGTAAGTGTGTTCATCGACGATTGTCTCAATAGAGTTGGACAGGATATGGAAGATCTGTAGAAATTGAAAAAGAAAACTCTAATCTAACTCTGTTGTACACTACAGACGGTAGTCTAACTCCCATATCGCTCCTTAAATTTCCGTTCCCTCTACAATANATCCCTGCTCTCCTTTGTAAGTGTGTTCATCGACGATTGTCTCAATAGAGTTGGACAGGATATGGAAGATCTGTAGAAATTGAAAAAGAAAACTCTAATCTAACTCTGTTGTACACTGCAGATCTCTCCTTAAATTTCCGTTCCCTCTACAATAGTTGTTAAAAAATTTTACGGAGACAAAAAATGGCTATGAATGTATTTATTTTTATTGATTAACTACTCATTGATCTTCCACAAATCAACAACAACTTGACTTACTGCATTTCGATGGCAAGATCACTGAGATCCTTTCTCAGTGAGTTGAGTTGACACAAATGAGTGTTTTGAGTTTGAACAATAGTAGAGCTGGATTCGGCGATGTCAGTTTCTTCCCCGTGGGCCTGTGTGAAGGAAATCAGGACCAAGTAGAGTTCGATATAGCGTATGAAACAATTCATTATGCCACCCCCTCAAATAGGACTAAACCACTATTGAAATTGAATAATGAAGGCTATGTGTTAGATTATGACCACATTATCTTTATTTTTGTTGCGGATCGTACTGGTCACTGTCCTTCAGCAGGAAACTGAATTTACGCATATGAAAAGCCTCCTGGTCCAGTCACTCTTAAGCCAGAAAAACCCACCGAAGCTAGGCGGTCCACTTGGAATGGAAGACCCATTATCACCGATAAAGGTCGTCATGATAATGTGAAAACTCTGGAGCATTCCGGTATATTTGTTCAAATATGGATAAGTTTGATTTGAGGCTACAACGAACAATGCGTATCTCGCTAGGAATAACGAGGTCCTTTTCCCTCGCAACAGGTTCACGCAACATCAGGAGTGAATTTCCGGAACTGTTGAGTGATGTGATCTGAAGGACAGACTAAACCATCACCGGAATTTTCTTCCCTCAGAATTTGTAGCAGAGCTACTCAGCATTGAAGAAAGATGACTCACCTCAGCAAACCAAGTGGTAGTCTGTTCGATCGCATCCGACAGGCTGTTCAAAGTTGCTGCAAGATGGCATTCCACATCAGACGACGGTGGGCCGTGTAAAGCATCCATGGAAGAAGCAGTCTCGAGTTTTCCAAGCAGTTTTCCAAGCTAAACCATACAAATTCACATTAAAAGCTAAATAAATCACGTGTTTATGGTGATTATGTACAAGACACCTAGAAATATTTACGGATGTCGGGAACGGCAAGGAATTCTTGATTTTATCGTGTTTCTGCATAGATGATGAGATTTATTTTCGAAGAAGCCTTTTTGAAAGCCATGGATAGATTGTCGGCTATCGAAAGAGGATAATATGTCTGTGGTATCGAGAAATACACTCAGTTGCAAAACAATTTGGTTTTCNCTTACTGCATTTCGACGGCAAGATCACTGAGATCCTTTCGCAGTGAGTTGAGTTGACATAAATGAGTGTTTTGAGTTTGAACAATCGTAGAGCTGGATTCGGCGGTGTCAGTTTCTTCCCCGTGGACCTGTGTGAAGGAAATCAGGATAAAGTAGAGTTCGATATAGCGAATGAAACAATTCATTATGCCACCTCCTCAAATAGGATTAAATCACTATTGAAATTGAATAATGAAGGCTATGTGTCAGATTATAACCACATTATCCTTATTTTTGTTGCGGATCGTACTGGTCACTGTCTTTCAGCAGGAAACTGAATTTACGCATATGAAAAGCCTCCTGGTCCAGTCACTCTTAAGCCAGAAAAACCCACCGAAGCTAGGCGGTCCACTTGGAATGGAAGACCCATTATCACCGATAAAGGTCGTCATGATAATGTGAAAACTCTGGAGCATTCCGGTATATTTGTTCAAATATGGATAAGTTTGATTTGAGGCTACAACGAACAATGCGTATCTCGCTAGGAATAACGAGGTCCTTTTCCCTCGCAACAGGTTCACGCAACAGCAGGAGTGAATTTCGGGAACTGTTGAGTGATGTGATCCGAGAGACAGACTAAACCGTCACCGGAATTTCCTTCCCTCAGAACTTGTAGCAGAGCTACTCAGTATTGAAGAAAGATGACTCACCTCAGCAAACCAAGTGGTAGTCTGTTCGAGCGCATCCGACAGGCTGTTCAAAGTTGCTGCAAGATGGCATTCCACATCAGATGACGGTGGGCCGTGTAAAGCATCCATGGAAGAAGCAGTCTCGAGTTTTTCAAGCAGTTTTCCAAGCTAAACCATACAAATTCACATTAAAAGCTAAATAAATCACGTGTTTATGGTGATTATGTACAAGACACCTAGAAATATTTACGGATGTCGGGAACGGCAAGGAATTCTTGATTTTATCGTGTTTCTGCATAGATGATGAGATTTATTTTCGAAGAAGCCTTTTTGAAAGCCATGGATAGATTGTCGGCTATCGAAAGAGGATAATATGTCTGTGGTATCGAGAAATACACTCAGTTGCAAAACAATTTGGTTTTCACGAGAGAATCAATTGAATCTCTCGTTTATGATGTTCTACAACTGAATGTGCTGCACACAGGCCGCCTCATGTTTCAGTTGGTACGATATTCGGGACATCACAATATATTTTCATAAAGGAAACTACTCACAAGGTTGCTGAAAACTTTTCGACAGCCCACGACCGGTTTCGCCCTTCTTGAGGCTCATCAGGTAGGCGCAGTCCCCGAGTTTCCGCCAACCTTATGATCTACTTGAACCCAAATTGGACTGTTTTCGAGAAATACACTCATTTGCAAATCAATTCGCCCAAGAAGGGCAAAACCGGTAGTGGGCTGTCGAAGACTTTTCAGCAACCTTGTGAGTAGTTTCTTTTATGAAAATGTCTGTGGTATATTTTCAAGGAAATTATCAGCAACCATTAGAATTAGTTCCCACGTCAACCGTTCAGGTTCGTCGAATGTGCTATCCCGCGGACTTATATTCTCCCCATCAATAAATACATTGGCTGTGTGTAACAGCAGCAATAGGGGGCGAAACCATTGCGTCTTGATTTCTGTGTTCTCAAACTAGGCCTACGCCAACGGTTAAACTGCCTCAAGGAAACAGTATCAGATTAAACTTAGTGAAAGCACATGTCACCTCCGACACCAGGAGAATCAAACTCTTCTCGACAGGGACCCAAACGGTAGATCCAAAAAAGACAGCCCTAATTTCCAAGGTATTCGTATTAATTTTCATACCGCACTATTAGGTTTAGCCTTCTTAGAGCTCGTTAGGTAGGCGTTGCCCCCAAATTGTACATAAATGGAGCTATTCATTCATCTTCAAATTACGAAAGCGTTAAATAGGAAAGTTGGAAGCTCCAAGACGTAATCCCAGCTGTGGGCTCCAAGAAAGACGAAACTGGTTGAAGTGCATTCCCCAACCTTGCAAGTGAAGCTGTATGGTGAAAAATACCTCAACATGTACAGCACTGCTCCGATGAAAACATAAGGTGGTCTTTGTGCAGCACCATAAAAGAAAGATTCAGTTGAGATAGATCCATTTGGGTATCTCTTCAACAGAGTCTATGTACAAATTACTTCTGGTTTTGGAGAAACTCAGATGGCTGAGTAAGGGCAATTTTAGGAAGCTGGATACACAGTCTACGGGTCAGCATCTTCACGATGCATCCGACTGGAACATGGCGTCAGGTTTGAACCGGTTGATCATCTAAGCGAGAGAGTATTGGATAAATCGAATGATTCTTCTGGATGGCCTTAAATAGGTCCCAAACATAAAAAGGAACAGTCGGACCGTTTGAAGTCGCGACAATCAACGGCCAACATCTACTGTGTGACTTGGGAACTTGCCGATTGTTGGGAAACCAAACGGACTTGAAAAATGGACTGGACATCTACTAGACTACTTCAAGGTCTTCGCAACAACGGTGCCACTCGCAATACGGATGATGGCTGGTGCGGCACAAAGCGCGGTTTGTCCCGAAGCAGCCCCCCACTTATGGAGCGAAGCAATCACTTTCATGGAGGCTGGCACCCAAAAGTGAATGAGGAGTAGTCTGTGCAGAAACGAAAACAGCCCACAATGAACCCAAGGCTTCTTCTGAGGCTAAGTGAACACCAGAACACTTGAACTGTGCAACTGTAATGTTGGTGATGATGTGCCCGTTAAAATGCGCACTAATAACGTCACAGATTAGTCGCCCGTGGTTGAAGTCCGAATGTTCAAAATCCCACCCGGCCTCGAATCCCTTGGAGAAATGTGCACTTCTGATTATTCTCAACCGTATTTCCAGCCATACCCCATTTACTGAATTCATCTTAAAAGACAAAAATCCAAAATCGAATCCTCACTTCTAATTGAGACTTTACCGACGAGGAATGGTGGACCATGAGTAGTACATATGAATTTGCTGTGGGACTCACTCAATGGTAACAGGATTTTCTTACCTTTTGGAGCCCAACTACCTTCGTGTTTGTTTGTATTTTGGCAAACCGACTGCCTATTGTTTGACAGAATTTCTTTCTAACGGTCGTGAGACGTGCCATAGCAGACGACACCGATATTTCAGACGTATCCGGGTCTTCCGACTCGGCTGATCGAGGAATTGTACACAAAGTGGACACCCAGACTGGGTCAATTTCCGTCTCAACACCATTCGTAGGCGCTGATGAATGGCAAAAATCAAAAAGATCAAAACTGGGCGACGAGGTGAAATTGTCGACCACATTGCTCCAACTCGCTGTTCGGCGGCACGATAAACCTATTGATTGGATCCTGTGAGATTCATCGAGTGTGCTCAAGTTAGACAGACTTCTTGGTCGCCTTGAGTGTAGACCTTTGAGGCTGCCGATCGTTTCTTCTAATCGGGAAAGTTTGGAGGCTCGTGCCCTTAGTTTTTCACAAAACCTGTAAACAATCGATAAGGAAATCCGTTAGTTTACAATAAAAACGAGTGGAAGCATCATACGAGAATAATGCTGATGCTGGATTGTGTTTAGTTGAAACTTTAACTAAGCAGGAGAGGGTAGTGTGCTTCGAATTCGCGATTTCGAATCCTTCTAAGGTTTCATGAAATGCGCATTACGGATTCCGAATAAGAATAAAAAAGATGTACAGTGCTGTTCCGATTTTTATGAAAACTGCCTCATCGTTCGAGCAGCAAATGAGCTACACTTTCGTGAACTCTGGTACTGGCTCGAGTCAAGTATACTTCTGAGAAAACTTGTACACCATACTCCAATAAGTACACAGTTTTTTATCACCAAGCGCGAACAGTATACAATATGGGAGTATTTTTGACGAATCGTTGTCCCTGAGATTGTTCGAATCTTCTTTAAGTAGAACACTAGCTGAGTTAATTACATAACAAGATCACCTGAATTTCATTCCCCCCCTCCCCCCACGATCACTAGGAAAATAGAAGACTTTGCATGCAAAGAGGTTCTACATGGGTGAGGTGGAGGTGAATTCTCCCCAGTGGTATCGGAGGGAGCGGAGATTCCAGATTTCCAAACCTCAAAAGTGACAATAATGATTTCTTTGAGTGTAGGAACGAGTTTCTGTCGACTTCATTTTCTACTTGAATACCAATTTGTACGCAATTGGTGAAATGGACTCAGTTGCAAATCAATTTGATGAAAAATACGATCAACAAGAAATTCAGATGGGACTCAGTAAGATTGCCCATCAACATGAAGTTATGTTACGTACAAGTTGGAGTTCAAGTGGAACATCAGGTTGACGGAAACTCGGGTAGTGTGCTTACTTGATGAGGCCACATAGATGAATACTGTCGTGGCCAGGCAGAGTAGTTTCCCTCATGGAAATATGCTGTGATATCTCAAATATCGTGCCCCTGTGCGGCACATTCAGTTGAAGAATATCATAAGAGAAATATTCCACTGGGATTCAGTTGATTCTCCCGTTCACAAATGAGTGTAGTTCTCCAGAAACCTGTGCCTATTTTCTCTGATACACGTCCGTGACACACAGAGGCTGTACTCAAGATATAATGCATTTTAAGACAAAATAGTCACCAAGTGGTTAAGCATACGGCGTTCTTCCCAGAATCTTTGAGCACCGGCTGGTGAATGTGCTGCACGGTAAGTCTGCGTCACAAGACGAGTGAACATTCGGGATCACCGGTCAAAGATAGTTTTACCAAAAAACAACTACTTATCGACAGTTAGTAAGGGTGTTTTTTCGTTGGCAGCGTGTGTTTAAACATTGTGCGCTCGAATGGCTTACTTGGCTGTTGGTCAGCTAGCAGTCGGTCTGTTTGCCGAACTTGACCAAACGCAATGAAGATGCTTTCTTGAAGACTCAGTGGATGTTAGGAATTAGGATGAGTGAACAAAAGCAACTGAGCAGACGAACAGAGAAGGCAGTGCCTTACGAAGAAGTTTGGTGATTTCCGCAGATGAACACAATTGAGAATTTTTGCCATCGTGATAGATGATAAAGGCACTGAGGACATGTCCTCGTTTGGACAAACTTTTTGTTATCAAAGGCACATTTCTCGCTTTCGACGAGTTCGTTGTAATAGGACGCTACTGTTGTTACTTGCGATAAAAGTAGAATGCGGATAATGGAAGAAAGAAGCATTTCATGCCCAACTGACACACACCGTTCTAGCTTTTCTGCCCCATCCGTCCACAATGCAATGCTGTTTTCAGTGGAGATCAATTGATACGTATCATCCGATGCGGACTTTTCGCTGGTATTTATCGTGTTTGAGATGGCATCGGTCTTATCTAAGATGACCTGGCTATCACGTATCCATTGGTGAGTCAAACGTAGCCAGAATTGCGCAACGCCGTAACAGACCTGCAACAAAGAGAACAGACGTGTTAGGCAATTTTTTTAAACACAAGGTTATTCCACACCCAGTGCGTGAGAACGAACAAAATATACTCCAGTAATAGTAAGGGTCTCTGTCGGTAGTTCGTTCCACAACCCCAGGGATCGTCTCTGTGACTTGTAGGCAGTGCTCAATATGTCAACATCAGAATCAGCAGGAACAAACACGTGTGGGCCTTCCGTCAGCTTACGTGGTTTGGAATTGGTGGTTGGGAAACTGAGAGCGATGTCGGTCTCGCATATGAGTTCCTTCACCTCCGGTATTATTACATGCACGTCAGCCTTTTTCACTGACCATATTTGAACGTAGTTAGTGTCACCACGAAAAAAAACGCACTGCTCGGAGAAAGTGGTGATTTGTTCCTTCGACTGCGTTTAGCCCTGACCGAATACATCCTCAAAAGGATTAGAATAAACAACATTCTTGTTTCTCGCATGTTTCCTTTGAAACTGAATTTTGGCGACGAAGTAAAGCATGATGTTAGAATGGGTAGTTTCGATGTGTATGATAGTTTGGGGCGTCCAAATTCCAGTGGGAATAGAAACCAATTTCCTAACCAGAAGAGTTCTTTTTGACATTCAGAAAAGCTGGTGTTCTGAGATCCCAAAATGGGGCGAAATAAAGGTGACGAGAATTCGATACTACCTTCCCCAAACCCGTATCCTCTCCAAGAAACTCAAATCTATGCTCAGTGAAAACGCTCAGAAAAACTCAGAAAAACGTCCCACAGTTGGGTCGAACATTCATCACATGAAAGACCCAGATTCATTCATCAGCCTGTTTGTATCCGTGTGCACCTGACGTCCAATATCTGAGGTCATAACTTAAAAGATAGATATTGTGGCTTGGGAGTATGCAGTGACAATTCCACACATCATAGTACATTAAATTGCTCTGAATAACCTACCTCGACATCTTCCAGACAGTTCAGGTTCTTCTCATCATCGACAAATGGTCCAATCTGCTCACAAACCAGACGTGTATGTTCTTCTTCCGCCTGAGCCTGTAGCAACCGAAGTACCTCAAACTCGGATCTCATAACGCGAGTCCCAAGTTCAAGGGCATTTACTATACCGAATAAAAGATGGTGTAATGTTAAACAGTCAGTGCAAAAACAGATCTATTGGGCACAATGTAAGCAAAGTAGTTACGAAGGAAACCAAACCAATCCACAATCTTCAGGGACCACCACTTTTCATGGTGAATTTTCGGTCGGACACGACAAGAATCTGACTTTTGTCATTTATGCACCTCACTATCATGCAACCTATAGGGCATTTTATAGCTGGATAAACTCCTACCAGTCAAGCGCGAGCATATATTTTGAGTTGAGATGAACTGGAACTATGGAGAGGATAAAACTAAATCACAGCTTCATTGGCATTCTCTTTTGTGCGAACTTATAGCGATCCTAAAAAGGTGGTTTCAAGAAAAAAACAAAGCGTGACTCCAACCCGCTTGGCTAAGTAGATACGCTTTAGTCGTCGAAAGATCGGTTGAAGGTGCCACAACTGAAAGGCGAGACGAATCGACGCACGATAACACACTGTTTTTGGTAGGATAATTTCTTCCTTGCCACATAAGGATCCTTTTTTGTGACAACTTGTGGTCTTTTCTTGGGTCTCATTGAAGTTTAATTGGAAAGAGGTCCCTACTAATCAAGCCGACGTGGCCGATGGCCATTTTGTGAATCCAGGATGCTGCGCTGGTATGTGGGTCACGTATATGCAGGATTATTGATTACCCGGAGCGTTCATTTCGGATGAGATGGAAAGTTGCATCGCAAATCGAAGAAACTGTGGAGAAACACTCAATTAAAAGACAATACTTTACTATTCTTGCACGGAAAGCATGCAACACACTTCCGTCTTCTATGAGAAAACACCCTGTCGATGAAACATTTTGGAAGGCATCTTGAACAGCGAACAACAGGTGGGATTGAGACATCGGGAGCCAGACCAGAAAGAACTCTCCTCTTAAACCATCCACCAAACAACACTGGCCAAGTTTTCGAACCCAAAATACTATCGAGAAATAGGTAGATGGGGAAAGATAACCTGCTAACTTATCACTGTTCCTGACCAACCTTGTAAATATTCGTCCATCAACATGGATCCATCCGCAGTGCAATTTGATCGAATCGGCATGCTCCGTTGCAGAAGGATGTCATACTCTTGTCCACCCAGAATTCTGCATGATTTTTGATAGTTCTGTTAGGAATGAAAGCGTAACATTGACTGGCTCCGAACGCAAATGCGGAATCATAATTTAACTTGGTAATATTCGATTGTGAAACCCACCTGCAGCTGCAGCATCCTTTTTTCAAGCAGGTTCTCATCCACCTTTTCCGGCTCTGGATACTTTAGACCCGCGAGATCCAAATCCTCGGCAACATTACTACTGAGTTCAAGCCTCCAAGGCCTGTGAAGCAGTTGCCGAAGCCTTTTCAATTGCTCAAACCATTCCTGACGTGCTTCTGTCCATACAACATACGGGAAGGCGTCTTGCGAATTTCGACCGGTACTATCAGTTGGTGACATGGTGTCATGCCTTTGAGCTTTGCTTCGTAATCCCTTCAGTTCATTGGACAAATATCCTCCCGAATGGTGCGTTTCACATTGTGATAGCAGTTCGGTCAATTCGTTTTCCAGACTTTGTCTTCTCGAATTGGTCACCTAATGACGGAAGTGGGAATGTGAGGCGTGCTCAACCGTAACAACTGTACATGAATCTGGAGCTATGAAGATAAAACTTTTCATGTAAACACAGTAACTTACTTGATCCAGCGTAGCGATTCCCATCACATCCGCAATACTAAGGCCGGCTTTGGTATATGGTGCAGGCCGTTCTTCTAGTGACTGGAGTTGGCTTGTCAGCTTATTGATTCGGGTAGATTGATCTCCCTGGTCCCTTATCCTAGTTGACACTGATGCTAGAGAGCAGTGTAATTGAGTTTGAATACAGTCCACCTCCACGATGTGTTTTCTAAGTAAGTGACATGAAATAAGTTTTTCTGAGATAGTTCGCAAACCAGGGATGATAGCATGCAGCAAAAAAGTTATTCGGATAGCGGGATTCGTGAGAGAATTCCTGCTTAAGCCAGCATATATTCTAACCGGATTTCGTAGGTGGCTTGGTGCCGAAATAGAAGAAAACACTGTTGCTAACAAAACAACAGGCAAGCGCTCGGGTATCCCATCACTGTACCGAAAAAGATGTCAACAATGGAGCAGTGTTGTGGTAGGTTTTCCTCTCATCTCAACAGGCAGCTGATGGGACTGCCTTTATCGAGTCATTAGTTGGTTCGCTGGAAGCTTTGAACGTGGTCTGTCGCTTGTTGGTGGAGCCAGCAGTATAGATTTAATTCGGCATCCCTAAGACTTAATTTTTGGCCGAGGTGAATAAATGGAAATGATTATAAGCCTGCCTGAGAAAGTCAGTTATTTTAATGGGGATTCCCACATTTAATTGAAGTCATCCTATGCCCAAAAGCCGAGAAGCACTTTGCAGCCATTTCACCCCTATTTGTAATCATCAGCATTGCGAATCTCACTGTGAGGAGTCTCGAACCCCCAACCTACTGGCTAGTAGTCTGAACTGTCCGGTGGTGATCGACTGATCTGCACTGTGATTAACACGGCGCAACTCATTCTTCAGTCAAGGAATTCACATTACGTACCATGCGTCTCAGCTCTCTTCATACCATCAACAAAGCCAGTCATCTTGAAAAGCGATGAAGCTGTGTCCGGCTGTTTAGTTGTCACTTGGGGGTCACCAGCAGTGTTAAAGACCTTGCGGCTGTTAGCTGGATATCTTACCCCACCACTAAGAATGATGGGACTAAGGTCTGTAACCAGTGTGGATAAACCATAGTTACACAAGATACATCGCCACTTATCGCCATCCAAGTGGCTTGTTACCGAAGGGCTCCTCGAGTGACTTCACAGAGGAAGATCCGATCCATGCAATGGGATGACTTACTCGCTCAAAATATTACTCACTCTTCGAAACTCCAATCCTCTCAGGAGCCGTATGATGCCCAATGAATTAGGGTTGCACATCTGGAAAGTGCATTTCGGATTCTCAGCACGGGTTTACTTTACTGGGAAGAAGGAAATATATATTTGAAAAATCGAAGGTGTCCTCCTGTGTACCATGATGTGAGCAACTAAATTTCACTCAACCTTCCCATCTGTGACATCCTCTTTGCATGTCAATGTAGATCAGTTCAGGGGTGGAACATCCGAATATCAAACACGTGCGCATTCCCCTGTGAGCAAACAAGCAATAACTTGGTCAAAAGGGATAGAACAAAAGAAGTGAGACAAATTAGCAAAATGAGATTTTTGCGAAGCTGACTGAACAGAATATCTCGCTCATAGAATTCGTCGACTGAATGTGTTCCAGTTGGTACGATATTCAAAATATCGAAGTATACTTTCTTGACAGAACACATTCATATAGTGACTGAAAACTCTTCAACAGTCCACAAGTGGTTTCACTTTTCTTAGGGCTCATCGTGTAGGCCAATTCCCTGGGTCTCCGTCAGCCCGTGTTCTGGTTGAACAATAACTTGTACACAATCGGCAGAATACACCCATTTGCGCACCAATTTGATTTTAACAGGGGACCCGAGTGAATCCGAGCGGTATCTGTCGTTCACAGAATTCTCTGAAATAATTTGCAAGTGTATTTCGCCAAGTGCGTACAAGCAACAGAATATGAGTTTGATGGAAACTCGGGGAGTGGGCTATCTGATGAGTCCCAAGAAGGGCGAAACCGGTAGTGGACTGTCGACAAGTTTTCAGCACTCCTAAGCCTAATAAAAACATCATCTATTTCAGGCAGTTTTGCTACCACCTTATTGACCGATATACAGACGATCACCTGTGACAGGAACTAACCTTGATTACCATCGACCAGTTAGTCAACAGAACATAAAACAGGTATTCTTAAACAACAGTGCAAAAGCGAATATACAGGGGTAATTCAAGCTACACATACTCTAACAGTCCTCTGACTTCTTGGCTGTCCACCAAGTCCAGCTGCTCCACAAATGTATCTGTAACTGCCCGTAGTTCATCCACGGTTCTTGCAATGCGAGACAGGCGATTCGGTAGTTTCTGTAACACAACAAAGTAGCTCAATCATTAGGTTGTGAACGACTTAGACAATACAACCTCAGCTAGCAAAAAGTTCTACTCAGGAAAGAAAGTTTTTGATGTAAAAAAAGAAAACACATACTGGATCCCAATATGCCTTCATACGATCGCGAGACATCGCTTATTTCCAGTGGACAGGTTTGAAAGTAAGCTGATCAGAAATCCGTTCTGCGGCAACCAACATCGGGATAGTTGTGAGACGTCTACTCAGCTATAGAGACTGTGGTGGTGTGGTCATGTAATACGCACGTGGTGCTATCGAATCCACGGTTTTCCATGCCTAAGTTAGAATGCTGACACAAAAAGGGGGCTGACAGGTGATTTGGATATGAAACACTCGTCCTGAGTTCACAGATTCGTCGGTGTTGCTAAAACGTTTCAGTACAAGTTCAAGGTTGCAAAGTCTATGGTCACACTAACGATTGTTTCATATGAAAGTTAGGGGAAATCGATAGGGAATTCAGTCACCATGGATGAGTCTTGAAACTTTCGCCGCTAATGAGCGAGAATAAAGTAGCAATGTTAGCTGTTTTACTGTTTGATCGATAAATGAAACATTACACTACATCCATTATTGATTATCCCATGGAAAACTGCAGAACCTCCCATGTTGTTTTTGAGTCCTAATGCGGGTCTCATTCGGATGAGTGTAATACATCTGTGAACATTGAAGCGGTCCTATTCGAAAAATAGGAATCCAGTAAGGTTGGACTGTGTTTTCACTTCTGAGACGTAAGGTGCTGTTGACTCTGTACTCAGCAATGAATTCGTGCTTGATCATCGAGTTACATTTAGCGGCAAAATAGCCTGATTCTGCGAACGCGAGACTGATCGATCGCATTTAGTACCAAAAATTGGATTGCTCCTCTATAGTTGACCATGATGACGTGAAGGTTCAACTGAATGTCATTCGGTGTACCGTGACAAACAAAATGCTAAAATCCTTAAGTAGGTTCATTAAAAAGCGACCATTAAATCATCAAATATTTCTGTTTTTGGGAATTGGCCCAACTCAGAACTGAACACCTTTGCAAAAGTGATTTATTAATAGCGATAATAAAAATGTTTAGCATTTACCAAGGGCAGAATCTTGTACAGTTTGCTACCTATTGGTCTGGAACAGCTGAAACCATTTGTCACTATTCAAAAAATTCTGTTTACTAGGTAGGTATTCCGACGCCCCTTTGGTTACACCGTCCTAGCTGCTGAGCCTCAAGACCGCTTCATTGCAAGTCACCTAACACCATTGGATTTGTGAAAAAGCCACTTTTGTCCTTCCACGCTAAAATCTACATGTTCCTTTAGAACATGCTTGTGGTGAAAAGTCTACAGGGAAAAAACTCGCCAGGAAACGCCTGAAATCATTTTCGCTTGACAATAGGTTGAGTCACTGTGTTTTCAGAACACGATGAGGTCAGATATTGGGTGGGAATGTAGTTTATCAAACCCATATGGGCAACTGCAAAACCCACAAAAATTTGATGTTTCCGGTGTATTCTGAACAGAACCATGAGTCACCTTGTGGTCTGTAACGGTGCAGGTAAACATGCACTAATGTGTGACGTACAAAAGTGTCCCCTCTTTTTAGGCAACGCCATATCTTCGAACGCATTCTGGGTTGATTGTTGGTTGGTGAAGGACCAATTAATGACATTCTGACTGGGCTACGGGGCTGAGTAAAATAACCTTGGCTCACATAGCCAAAATAATGAAGGTCGTGGGCTGTCGACGGATATTCAGCAACCCTATGAGTAGTATATTACAAATATATACATGTATCGCGATATCCCGAATATCGTAGCGACTGAAACATGAGGCGGCCTGGTGCAGCACATTTAGTTGCCTGGAAACATCACAAACGAGAGATTCAGCTGGGTTCCAGGTGAGCCTCTCGAAAAACCAAATTAGTTTGCAAATGAGTGTGTATATTCGCTAATGAAGGAATAATTTTGAAGGATGCCGTCAAATAGCTTTTTTATTTGCAAATGCTCATCACGCAGTGGTCAACTTGTGACTTAGGTTTTGCCGAACAGATCAGAGCAACGGGAGCAAACTAGAATCAGCAAACACTTTGTCATCGTCTGCTAAAATCGACTTTGGAATAAAGGTATCTTCTCAAACAGTGCTTTCTTACAAGAGGCTTTCAAAAATGATTTTTCTCCAATATTCGTTCACAGAATTATGATAAATATTTGTAGATACGGACCTCAAATGTTTGCTGATT